CCTCACACGTAATAACTCAGTACGTGTTCAGCTGGATCTGTGACAGTTTGGCTTTAAGAAACGGATCATATTTGACATGCCTAAGCTAGTGACGTATCCTTTCTTGGGCTGTGTACGGGTCTTAATGTAGTTTTTTTGAGCCATGAAACAAAAAATTTTGGTAGCTTGATCATTGCCTGTCTTGTAATGTACTTATTTGCAGAATTTGACGATGCAGCTAATTTGCTTGCAGCAAATCCAGATGCTACCACAATAAGCATCGATGAGCCAGTTGAAATCCCCAAGAATCAGCGCGGCCGTCTGCAGGAGCCAGGGAGAGAAGAGGATGATGAATTACTGGGGACCGATGACTCTGATAAAACAGAGGTAATGGTCTTACACCTACAGTGCCTCCATTGGCACGTATACAAATGGTGCTGACAACACTGAGGTATTTCTAGAGGACACCAGGGATTCACACTGGGTGACTTAAAACTCTTGCTTCTTTTCTGTCACAGGTTACTTTCTCGATAGCAGAGTGGCAGAAGCAAATGTGCGTTGGCTCTCTTGTGGTTTGCAGCCTAGGAAATTGTACTGAAATGGTGGTGATTTAAGCTAAGCAAATATGTCAGAAGATGAGCACGGCAGCAGCTGACAAACCAGCACCGTGCTTGTTTCTTTTGGTTCTGCTGTGGCCTTGGTGACTCTGGCAGGAGAGCAGGAAATTTTGAAATGGCCAGGCCTTGTCTGAAGGGTTCAGCTAATGCAGCTATCAGCAATGGAAAGGGAACTTGTGATGCTGATGAAGGCGTGTGTTATAAATGATGTGGCAGAAGGTTGTATCAGGCTGCTCTTTAGAACCCCAGGCCACTATTCTGCTTGCAGGGAGATGAGAGACTAGCTGCTGCTAACAAACATTAGAGGGGGAAAGGGAAACTGTTAAATAATTCATAGTAAGTGCCACCCTGTTAAGTTTGTTTTCTATCTGGGTATGGAAATCACTTGACTATTGTGTAAATGAACTAACAATGCATAAATTGCATGCTTGTAACTTTTTCCATGTTCCCTTTCCCACCATACAGCTGCTTGCAGGACAGAAGAAAAGTGCCCCTTTCTGGACATTTGAGTACTACCAGACGTTCTTTGATGTGGACACATACCAGGTTAATATTCCACTCCAGAGAACTATTGTCTGAACTATGCTTTATTCAGACATTGAATTCCGCTCCCTGCCCCTTGCATTTTCAGTCAGACAAATCTGTTTGTTTTCATAGGTCTTGGACAGAATCAAAGGTTCGGTTTTCCCAGTACCAGGGAAGAACTTTGTAAGGCTGTATATCCGCAGCAATCCTGACCTTTACGGTAGGTATGAAGTGTGAGGAGTTCTCTTCTGTGCTAAAAGTTTCAAGTCTGTATTTCTTTTTACTTGTTAACCTTAAATAAAAAATAAAAAAAAAGGCAGAGGAGTTGTTATTGAACTTCTTTGTTTCCCTTTAAGGTCCCTTTTGGATATGTGCCACACTTGTTTTTACTATTGCTGTTAGTGGCAATCTCTCGAATTTCTTCATCCATCTGGGCAAACCAACGTACCACTATGTACCCGAGTTCAGAAAAGGTTTGTACATAGTTGATAGAGTCCTGAGTTCATGCGTTTGGTTTTTTTGGTTTGTTTTTTTCAATGTACTAATGAAGCAACATAAAAACAGGTCACAGCTTCGATTTAGCAGAGTCTTTTAATTGATTGCTGTCTTTAAAGTTCAAGAGATGTGACTCGAGTCCTTAAAGTAGGCTGTAACTGGCAGAACCCTACTTCTCCAGAGCATAAAGTAGTTACAGGGTTTTAGTAGAGCAAGCAGGAGTAATTAGAGCAGTTATTTTTCTAGCCTTAGTTTTTCTTTCCTCTGTGGCTCTTCTTTTCACGCTGAAACCAATAGCATTTTGTACAGTGGTGTAATACTGAAAATGAAAATATCAAGAGAATGCTTTCTGGAGTCTTTACTTTTAAACTAACTTGAAGTGCTGGCAAAGTAGTGGGTGTAAACTGGATGTAAACGCAAAGTTCTCAGTTTATTAATAATTCAAACTTTATATTTTGAAAGTGACTTCAAAGGTAGCTTTCTAGTTATCAGGCTTCTACACATTTGATTCTAGCTGGTATTGTAAATAGAACATTGAACCTTTTGTCATCTTTCCAGTGTCCATAGCAGCAACAGCGATTTATGCGTACGCTTGGCTTGTTCCCCTTGCTCTCTGGGGATTCCTGATGTGGAGGAACAGTAAAGTTATGAACATTGTCTCCTACTCGTTCCTGGAGATAGTGTGTGTATATGGCTACTCCCTCTTCATTTACATTCCCACAGCGGTACGTATGGCCTAAAGAGTCCACCTCTATTACATGCCCTGCAAAAAGGTTGCTGGTTTAGAAAATTTGCTATTTCTTATAATATTGTTCATACTAGGCAAATCATTTGCTCCTTTTGCTTGGCTAGAATAAAGCTTTTTTTGTTGAACCTTGTCTAGTGTAAAGACATCTTGTGAGTCCTGGAAAAGCCCAGGACGGGTCATTTCCCTAGAGGAAGCAAATCCAAGCAAGGGTGCTGCCGGCAAGACTGGCAGGCAGCCCGCAGCAGCTTCAGGCATTGGGGTGTGTGTGTTCCCAGGGTACAGACATCGGTGTGTGGGGTGGCAGTGGGCAGGCTCTGAGGACAGGTTTCCCTAGCAGGGACCATGCTGGGCCTCTCTGGCAAGGGGCAGGCCTTGGAGGGAGTGCCATAACTCAGGGGACATGCTCTTATCATTTCTGCTATTGCTGTTCTTTCTTCAAGTAACAGAGACGTATCAGATAAGGCACGAGTTAATTTGTGCGCAAATTGGCTGGAAGTGATGAAATGTCACAGAACAATGCATTAAATAAATGAGTCCCTGCTTCACACAGTCTCTTTAATGATCGTTTTACTCCCTTTTATAGATTTTATGGATCATTCCACAAAAAGTGGTGCGCTGGGTCCTGGTGATGTTCTCCTTGTGCCTTTCGGGATCTGTTTTGGTGATGACCTTTTGGCCCGCTGTCCGAGATGACAACCGGAGGATTGCACTGGCGACCGTGGGAACCGTTGTTCTGCTTCATGCCCTGCTGGCTGTTGGCTGTTTGGTATGACGCTGCCTCTCCTTTTCTGTAATCTGTTATTTCTTGGGACTGGCAACATGTTATGGTGCAGGGAAGGAAGGGTTGGCTTTATCTTTTTTGATAAGGAAAGAAATAGTACTTCTGAAAAACCTCCAAAGTAAAAGTTCCAATTATTTTAAACGTAGCAAAAATTGATGCCAGTCTGACTTTGACAGTGCTAGTAACAAACTCAACATGAATTACAGAATTATGGAATATCTCAAGTTGGAAGGGACCGATAAGGATCATCAAGTCCAACTCCCACAAAATCACTCACAGAACGGTTTTAAATTGATCTGAAATTCATCGTAGTATCAGCAGAGCATTAATCTTCATAGTATCCAGTCGCAGTTTATTCCAATGAGTGCTATGCTTAGTCCTTTAAAATGATTAAATGTTCAACGTAAAGTGTGTGCTTATGAGTTTTATGTATGAAAACATAAACCTGCTAGAACTTAGTAAAATATCAGCGTTACGAAAACAGAAGACCCTAATGCTACTGAAATACGTAATGATGAGTACTTAAATTATTTGTTGTCTGTTTGTTGCCGTAGGCAGAACGATCTCATTCAGGTTTCAGTTCTGTTCCCCCCGCCAGCTTCCAGAGTAGATAGATTTGGTTCCCCGCAGCTCAGCGTGCAGGGAGGTGAGGGCAAAACACAACTCTGGTGTCAGCAGGAGACTTGCAGCTGACATCAGTGGGGCTCCTGTCACTGGAGACAGCCTGGAGCTTCATCAGTTAAAACAGCAAACAGTCAAATAAATACCTGCAATCTAATCCTTTCCAGTTCAGGTCTTTTTCAAAGGCCTTAGCCACGAACTGTTATATTTAAAAGTACAGTGTAGAGCACCATTTTAGTTGACCAATTCTAATCTGATAAAACCAGAAAAGACCCACATTTGCCATTTCAATGCTGTGTTTGTACCTTGTGAACAGTCAGTGTGGAAAGAAAGAGCTGGGATGAGGCAGAACTGTTTGTTTCTCTCTAAACGGTCTTTTTCTCCTCTGTAATAATGCAGGCATACTTTTTTGATGCCCCTGAACTGGATTTTCCTGCACCTATTATCCCTGCTCACAATGGAACAACAGTAGTAACAAAGAGTCAGTAAATAAGGTAAGAATCCAATCTAAACTTTCTTTTGTAATCATCACAGACATCTTGAAACCTTTCCCCATTGCTATGGTTGAGTGGAAAAGAGTTTAACAGACCAGTTTTGCTAAATGGTGCCTATATATAAATACCATTTATTAACTTTTTTTCCAGTTCTAAGTATAGCCATAAAAACGTGAAAGACTGAGGAACAGAGACATGCTATCTTTCTTTTCTTTGGGGTTTACTCTTGGTGGAGAAACACACATTTAAATAATTTACTCAGTCCCATTGGTCATTCAAAGGTGTTTTTTTTTCCCCTCAGTCCCTTACAAAAGCCCAAAAGTGTTTGTTAGAATTTGTACTGCACAAGTAAAACTTAAGCAATAAACTATTACACTCCTATTTTCCTTTCCTTTTAATGTTAAAAGTAAATTGGATTTTTTTTTTTCCACCTTGATGTTTGTGATAATGTGTTTCAGAGCAGGAGCTCTGTGTATGGGGACATCCGTGTAGTCTCTGAACAGGGCTGACTCAGAGCCTGAGCCATCCCTATGGACTGCATTCCTTGTGTGGGATGGTTTGAGGTTTTGCTTCCTGGTAGCTGGGAGTGCTGCCAGCGACAGATGACATTTGAATTCTGTTGGAGAGATGAAATGTGGAGCAGGTCCAGGAAAATGCTATTAGACACGCAGAGGCAAGGCCTCTGCAAGTACCCTAGCCACAAGTGTGTACGTGGAAATCAGAGTATGTACTGACTAGAAGCTGTATTAGATTAAAAAAAAAAGGCCAAATATACCTAGTAAAAATGGTCATAAAAAATTACCAGCTGTGACACAATCTAATAACGCAGATCAGTTTCAGCTTTCCTCCTGCAAAATTGGTTTCTCATCCTAGGTGCCTATTAAGATTCAATACAATAGTAATGAATGTTAGTATTTAGATATAAATATGTGCCTTATTGTGTCCTCTGCTGCCAGTGAGGAGCTGTAATATTCATAGGAATTATTTGTCTCTTTCAGATTACAATGCCTATTTCTCCAGCTGTACAGTAATTTTATTTTAGATTTTTTTTTTTCACTGAAGAACATGGAAAGTGCAAGAACAGCGGATGCTTTTTGTAGAAGAAAGAACCGTGATGTCCCATGGCCGTACAGACATCTCCGTGCTCACTGGAGACTGACTGGTTCCATAAGGAGAGTCAACTGTTGATCCTAATCCTTTACAGCAGTTTTTCTTTTTTGAATTCTATCTACACTTACCACGCTATTTTGCCTCTGAATAAAGTGTTCTGAAGGTGACTTGGGATTCTTACTTTGTGCATGAAGTATCTAATACTGTCGAGAGGGCTTGGTAGAGGCGTGAAGGTGGGGCAGAGGCAAGACGGGATTTTGCTGTGTTACTGTTGAACCACCTTGAGGCACGTCTATGCGGCCACCGAGCGCTTTCGGTAGCAAACGCCACCTGGAGAGCAGTTCCCACCGTCCCTGCTGCTTTCCCGGCTCCGGCTG